GTGCAGGGCTGATGGGGTACAGGGGTGGTGGGGTACAGGGGTGGTGGGGAGCAGGGCTGATGGGGTGCAGGGCTGAAGGGGTACAGGGCTGATGGGGTATAGGGCTCATGGGGGGTGGGGTACAGAACTGGTAGGGTGCAGGGCTGGTGGGGTGCAGGGCTGAAGGGGTACAGGGCTGATGGGGTACAGGGGTGGTGGGGTACAAGGGTGGTGGGGTACAAGGGTGGTGGGTGCAGGGGTGGTGGGGTACAGGGTTGATGGGGTGCAGGGCTGAAGGGGTACAGGGCTGAAGGGGTACAGGGGTGGTGGGGTGCAGGGCTGATGGGGTGCAGGGCTGAAGGGGTACAGGGGTGGTGGGTACAGGGGTGGTGGGGTACAGGGGTGGTGGGGTACAGGGGTGGTGGGGTGCAGGGGTGATGGGTGCAGGGCTGAAGGGGTACAGGGGTGATGGGGTACAGGGGTGGTGGGTACAGGGGTGGTGGGGTGCAGGGGTGGTGGGGTACAGGGGTGGTGGGGTGCAGGGCTGGTGGAGTTCAGGCCGGTGGATCTGACTCGGCACCACCAAAACCTCAGCTAAGGCCTCTCTGCTTTTTCTTTCTTCTAAATAGTTCTGTCATGTAAACTTTCTTTTGAAAACGAGTTCTGTGGATAGAACAAGGTTAGAAACGCCACCCAACACAGCGGCTTGCGACTGTCCTGGAGCCAGACAGGTGGAGGAGAGACCTCGGGGCTGGGCCAGGTCAGCTGACTCCAGAGTGGACACCAGGTATGTCCTAAACCTTGGTGAGGGTGGGCCCTGCCCAACCCTGGGACGCATCCTGGGGGCCAGGGAAGCCGTAACCTTATGCCTTTGTCACGTGCTGCTGAGATGGCACCTCTGGTGAGACGCTGGGCACTGTCTCTAGGGGCGCAGGGAGTGGGGGAGCCTGGGAGCTGTCTCCAGGGGCGCAGGGAGTGGGGGGCGGCCCTGACTGCCTCCCACCTGCCCACCTCCTCCCTAGAGGTTGCATCCAGCCAGCTCGGCTTGGGCACAGAGAGCCTATTAAAACCGTGCATCTCTTTGAGAGGAAGTGTCTCTGCCCCATCAGGCCGGCTGGAGGTGGAACACCACCCATGCCTCTGGAGCCCGCAGGAGACACAGGACCCACCCATGGTGACTGCCTGGGCTCAGCCTCCTGGGCGTCTCTGTGGGAGACAGAAAAGAACCCCTGTGGGCACTGGGGGTGTTGCAGCTAACTAAGCCGGAAGCCAAAGTGTGGCAACCTTAATTAGCGGTTTCCTCAGCCTCCACCTCCCAGCGTGGAGGAGGTTCATTAACCGGAAGTTTGATGTGGAGGGGCCGAGGGCGCTGGAGGCAGGGATGAGTGAGCTGTCTGCCTAAGCCTGCCACTCTGAGACCCTCCTCCCTCCATCCCAAGCCAGTGTCCTGCCCAGGGCATTGCCCCGACCGCTCCCTTCCCCTCAGGTATGTGGCCTGACAATCCATCAGCCCCTCACTTCCAGGCAATGCCCAGGGTGGGGACTCATGGAAGAAGCCGACCTCTTGACTTAGCTTTTAACATCCTCTGGTTTGAAGACATGAGACTCTGGATTTGCCCAGTACTTGGGGTTCTCAGCTTTTCTCCAACCTGGTCATGACAGTGACCGGCATTGGCCTGGCAATGGTGCCCCCACATGGGAGGAAAAAGGACCAGCCTGAGATGAGGAGGATGGGTCCTGTGTCCCCACTCTCCCCTGAGCCCGGGGCCTTGCAGTGGCCTTGACCTTCAGCCCTGGGGTTCTCCTTGGCCGAGCCCCCGGCCCGTTCGGCCCTCGGCTGGGCCAGTCACTGAGGGTGGCTTCCCCGGGGCGTCCCGGGCTCCCTTGAAGGAGCTGCTCTCGGTGCGATTCTGCGGATGGATGGGTCTAGCACTGGGCGTCGTTCGTCCCACTCTACGGATGAGAAAGTCGGGGCTTACGTAGGTGAAGGAAACTGCCTGAGCACCAGAACCCGGGGAGGCGCCCGGGCTGGACCGAGCCTGCTGTGGCCGTGGCTGGGCCGAGCCTGCTGTGTCCAGCCTGCTGTGTCCGCGGCTGGGCCGAGCCTGCTGTGTCCAGCCTGCTGTGGCCGCGGCTGGGCCGAGCCTGCTGTGTCCAGCCTGCTGTGGCCGCGGCTGGGCCGAGCCTGCTGTGTCGAGCCTGCTGTGGCCGCGGCTGGGCCGAGCCTGCTGTGTCCAGCCTGCTGTGTCCGCGGCTGGGCCGAGCCTGCTGTGTCCAGCCTGCTGTGGCCGCGGCTGGGCCGAGCCTGCTGTGTCCAGCCTGCTGTGGCCGCGGCTGGGCCGAGCCTGCTGTGTCCAGCCTGCTGTGGCCGTGGCTGGGCCGAGCCTGTTGTGTCCAGCCTGCTGTGGCCGTGGCTGGGCCGAGCCTGCTGTGTCCAGCCTGCTGTGTCCAGCCTGCTGTGGCCGCGGCTGGGCCGAGCCTGCTGTGTCCAGCCTGCTGTGGCCGTGGCTGGGCCGAGCCTGCTGTGGCCGTGTTGCTGCACGTTTACCAGGCAGGGACTCAGTTAACTGAGGGCTGGGCTGGGGGATCACAAAGAGGGAGGCAGCATGAGGTGCTTGTGGGGGCTCTGGGTTGCACGTTCCAGCAGGAGCAGAGGCGACAGCCTGCGTCTCTGAACAGGACCCGGGTGTGCCCCTCCCGTGGGCCAGAGAGAGACTCGAGAGCCCAGGCCTGGACTCCTCTCAGGCTGCAGGTGAGAGCCAGGCGGTGGGGCAGGGAGCCAGAGGCAGGGGCAGGGGCGAGGCAGCTCCTCCCGGCTGCACCCCGAGACACTGGAGGAAGCTCTGAGCTCTTCCTGCTTGCCATCCAGACCAGGCGCTAAAATCAAACACAGAAATGATACTGACCACAAAACCTCTCAGAGCCACTTCATTGGAGAAGACTGGGGTCAGGCAGCTGTGGGCAGCTCACGGCCGGCACGGGCCTTTCCTCTGGGATGCCAGGATTTGATCTCCCTGCGCAGGATTTTCTGTAGGAAAAGTCAGTCCCGTGGGTTCCTCTATCAGGCCTGCGGGGGCCCACGGCCCCCAGCTGTTCCCCGCGTGCATACTTGTAACCATGTCTAAGTCCCTGCCGTCCAGAGGCCTTTTCTCACCACCCACCCTCATCTTCAGCCCTTCCTGCCTTCAACCATGCCCGAGGCTCTGCCCTGGGTGGAGGGTCTGCCCTGGGTGGAGGGTCTGGGATGGCCAAGGCAGGTGCAGCCCTCCTGGGCCCCGCAGTTGGCTGGGGAGAGAGAGTTGACCAACACTCTCTATGGCGGGGAACAGGGGAGACCCTTCCTGTAAGAGGGGACTCAGGGAGGACTCTTGGGAAGGGGGCCTTTCATTCAAGGCCCGAATGAGAAGCAGCCAGGTGTGCCAGGGCCAGGCAGGTGGGGACGAGTGCGCAGGGAGGGGCTCAGTATCTTCTAAAACCAACCACACACCTGCAAGAGAGACCCCTGCGGCGCCCTGGGGCTGAGACGGGACTAGGACAGTATGAGACCCTCCTGGACCTGAGCTCCGGGATGTGGGAGCTGTGAGTCTGCTTTGCCTTGGTTTTCTGTGGGGCTGGCGGCATGCCCAGAAGACGTTTACTGCGTTTAATGAGACTGGGGACAGCACAGTGGCCCTGGGCGTTTAATGGGACTGGGGACAGGACAGTGGCCCTGGGCATTTAATGGGACTGGGGACAGGACAGTGGCCCTGGGCGTTTAATGGGACTGGGGACAGCACAGTGGCCCTGGGCGTTTAATGGGACTGGGGACAGGACAGTGGCCCTGGGCGTTTAATGGGACTGGGGACAGGACAGTGGCCCTGGGCGTTTAATGGGACTGGGGACGGCACAGTGACCCTCGGCGTTTAATGGGGCTGGGGAACGGCACAGTGGCCCTCGGCGTTTAATGGGGCTGGGGACGGCACAGTGGCCCTGGGCGTTTAATGGGGCTGGGGACGGCACAGTGGCCCTGGGCGTTTAATGGGGCTGGGGACAGGACAGTGGCCCTGGGCGTTTAATGGGACTGGGGACGGCACAGTGACCCTCGGCGTTTAATGGGGCTGGGGAACGGCACAGTGACCCTCGGCGTTTAATGGGGCTGGGGACGGCACAGTGGCCCTGGGCGTTTAATGGGGCTGGGGACGGCACAGTGGCCCTGGGCGTTTAATGGGGCTGGGGACGGCACAGTGGCCCTGGGCGTTTAATGGGGCTGGGGACGGCACAGTGACCCTCGGCGTTGGGGCTGGGGACGGCACAGTGGCCCTGGGCGTTTAATGGGGCTGGGGACGGCACAGTGGCCCTGGGCGTTTAATGGGGCTGGGGACGGCACAGTGACCCTCGGCGTTTAATGGGGCTGGGGACGGCACAGTGGCCCTCGGCGTTTAATGGGGCTGGGGACGGCACAGTGGCCCTCGGCGTTTAATGGGGCTGGGGACGGCACAGTGGCCCTGGGCGTTTAATGGGGCTGGGGACGGCACAGTGGCCCTGGGCGTTTAATGGGGCTGGGGACGGCACAGTGGCCCTGGGCGTTTAATGGGGCTGGGGACGGCACAGTGACCCTCGGCGTTTAATGGGGCTGGGGACAGGACAGTGGCCCTGGGCGTTTAATGGGGCTGGGGACGGCACAGTGGCCCTGGGCGTTTAATGGGGCTGGGGACAGGACAGTGGCCCCGGGCTCTGAGGTCCCTGCAGACCTGCTTCGTGGCCAGGTCTCAACTTTGGTCTCCGCACCTCAAAACGCGGGTGTCGACGCAGGGTCTCTGTGACCTGTGGCAGCCCCAGTGTCCTGTCCTTGTTCTCACGGGACTCAAAGCCTCACTGCACAAGGTGCCGCTGGGCTCACCTGTCCTGGTGGCTTTCCTGAGCCAGGAATAGAGTCTTCACCTGAACTGACCTGAGGCCACGCCCAGGCCCCTCCGTCGCAGCCCAGGGCCACTCTGAAGTGAGATCTGGCAGCCTGGGGAGGCTCAGGGGCTCACAGGTGGTGGCACCCAGCCCTGCCACGCTTCTCCTGGACCTACGCAGAGGCGCGGGCTGTGGTCAGTGCTTGGAGACAGAGCAGCTCCAGGCCACCCACCCTTCCAGTCTGCAGCATCCCACCTCACACAAGGCCCCAGCACCACAAGCCCGTTCTCCCCGTTCCTTGCAGCAGACCCTGGAGGCAGCATCTACAGGGGGCGTCCCGGGCAGCCTCACCGCAGGCACCACAGAAGCACAGAAGAGCTGCCTTGTGCCAGCACAGGGCACGCAGGGACGTCCGGGTGCCCCAGCTGGCAGCCACTCTCCCACAGGCAGGGTCTGGTGCCTCCATGTGCAACGTCTGTGATTGGGCTTGGTGCTGGGAGCGTAATGAGGAGCCTCCCTGGCCTCCCCAGATCCTGTCGCTGATGGGGGAAGGACACGTGGCCGTCCTAACACACACATCGCCAAACGTGGGCTTCCAGCGCGGAGGAAGCAAATTAAACGCTGCAAACGAACATCGGGGTAATTATCCCCACCAGGGCTGGGACAGGGTCCAGGCCTCCCTGAGAACGGGGCAGACACGTGTCAAGCGCCTAAGAGATGGGGAACTGGGGCAAAGGTGCTGGTGCCACAACAGCCCAGACACAGAGGAAGGTCGAGGCCGCCCCACGTCCCCATCTGCTGCGAGGAAGAGAACGATTTGGAGAGGAGCTGAAAGTCAGTGAGTGCAGCCTGTGAGGGGAAGCTCGTTGGTTTAATTCCGGATGGTGAGGAGGCTCGCGGAGCCAT